AAAACATCATGTAGTGTACGGGGCATTAAAGTGTCACTGCCCCAATTCCAGGTACCTATCCCTGTACATTACAGCAGTCACGGGATCTGGCCCTTCCGGGTGGGGGGGACGCTCTCTTGCTGCCTGGCAGTGGGTGCTGGAGGGTGCTTTCCTAGCCGTTCCAAGCTTTTCAGGTTTGACTCGGTCCCAGGAACTCTCTCTCTCATCTCGTCTGATTTATTAATCTCAATTTCAATTAAATTGTATTATATTTTGTTATCTTGTATTCCAAAATTATAGTAAAATAAGTTTTCCTCCATAGATTGTTGCCGCTGCTCTTTTCCTCCCTTCCTTCCTTCCCATTTCTGTGGGACTGGGGTGGGGGGGGGGAGGGCAAAGGCCTGTCGCCCCTGTCACGGACATAGATTGATCTGGTCAACTCCGTGACAGACCATCTCGACTGGTTGATCCTCTGGTGTTGACTAACCAGGTGTCTTCTGCCAAATGCTTCTCCCAGTGCTTAAATGTTCCGCCACCCATGCTTTTAGCATGGTTTATGTATGATATCTTCTTGTTTGTTCTCCATTCTGTCCAGCTTTTCAGGTACCTTTGCAATGGCTGGAACACATGCTCGTAGGCGGCTTAAATGTAACTCAAAGTCTTTAAGTTTATTAACCAATTCATGTACAAGGGGTCTTCTTTCCCCTCTGCCATACATTGCTGCAAATGTACTGGCGTACCTTTCTGGTGCAGTCTTTGTGAATGTACACCACATATTTGGTGTACACCTGACTCTCTCAGGCTCATGCTCTTGGTCTGGCTCATCAGGAATGAAATCAGGGCTATGTAGCGTTTCCACCACAGTATATTCTCTCAAATAACGGATGCCTTCTTCCATATCAGCCCATTTCTTCTTCTCAGGCATCACATCGTCTTTGAAGGGGTATCTTTCTTTTACAGCTAACAACATCCTCTTCCAGAGGGTAAAGGCCTGGTTCTAGCATGTACTAATACCTCTGTCAATGGCTGAGTCCCTAGCAATGCCACCCAGTTGGTGAGCTTTTCTACTATCTAGCCACACACTGTTGGCCCCATTGTCCCAGCATCGAAGTAACCAAGTAGCAATAGGCTCATTTGGGTGGCGTGAGAAGTCTTTTCTCAGACTTCGAATTTCATTCATTTTCAGAGATCGATCAACAAAGGTAACAATATCTTGCTCACCTCTTGCTCTTCCAGGACTTCTTGTTGCCCTTGTAGGCGTTGGTGACCGTGGTCTTACTGAGGGCCCCTCCCCTGGACTCAGAGGTGCTTCTCTTGGACCTTGGAGGGGGAGACCTCAGGGGGGACCTCAGGGGACCTTCTCTTAGACTTCAGAGCCACTCCTCTAGACCTCTTTCTTCCTCTTTCTTCTCTTCTAACTGAGTTGAGATTCGTTTCGTTTTCCGTCCTCTTACAGGGGCAACTGACATCAATTGTGGTGCCTCCTGTGGTTGATCAGGTTGGTCAGTTCTAATGCTCTCATCCTCCAGCTCAACTTGGAGCCTGTCTCGTTCAATTATGTATCTAGCTCAGATTGGAGGGTGCCTTGTTGAGATTGAAGATTGTCGAGTTTGGATTGCAGGGAGTCTCTCTGAATTCGGAGGGCATCTCTCTCAGATCGGAGGTCTTTTCTCTGGAGCAGGAGACTCTCTCGCTCGTTTTGAACTGTTTCCCTGAGACTCTCCCTTTCAATTTCACAAGCTCTCTCTCTCTCCAGGATGCTATTGAATAAGGCCCGATAAGCATTAGCCAAGCCCCAAGTCATTTGTGCCTCCTCAGATCTGCCTGAGCCGCAACATTCCCGTCTCAAATAGCTGTTTAAGCTCTCAGGGTCTTTCAGGTGTTCTGGAGTGAAGTTCCATGACACTGAAGATTTCCATTTGTCTAAAGTCTCTCCCAGACCTCTCCACACTCCCTGCCACTCAGTATTCTCCGGTTTTGGGGAGGACTTCCTCAAAATATAATAATTACTAATACTGAGTGAAATGATGAGCAATACATTCAGGGAGATTAACAATGCGATTAGGTGATCATTCAAAAACTGCATAAAAGATTGAAAGGAGAGACTGGAAACCTGCTTAAAAATCCCCAGTCCTGTAAAATTAGCAGCTGTCTCTGGAATTGTATGCCACATTGTATGAACATGCCAGGTCCATATTTCCACCCACCCATGTTTTCAATTGATTGTATATGCCTATTGCTCAATAGAGCAAGGTGGCAAGCTTAATTAATGCCCAGTATGTTTTGAGCATTAGAAAAGAAGAAACAGTGGCATGCAGTCCCTTAAAAGGCAGTTTCACAAAAGAAAGCTTTTTTTTTTTTTTTTTTTTACAGAAGCAAGATAGCAAAGCTCAGGGTTTACAAATATCCTAGGATATTGGCAGTCCGCCTGGAGTTTTCAAGGTCACGTTTTCAGAGAGTAGCGGTGAAACAGATAAGCTTTCCCACTGAAGCTCTCTGAGAGCTGAGAGTCTAAACAGCTAGAAAGCAACTGTTGCCCGCATTCTCCACCAAAAATGTCAATGGTTTATGGGCTGGTTCGGCCCAGTTCCGTGACCAGCGCGGAGGAGGGATCTGTGGATCTGCGCCTCCGGAAAAGGGAAACAGGGGACTCCAAAATAATTGAAAACAGCAGCAATAATCTGAAGTGGAACAAACTAATTTACTAAATATAGTATCAGCAAAATATGAGAGAGAGAGTGTGTCTGAATGGTAGATAGGCCTCACCACAACGCTGAGGTGAGAAGTGCAGTCCAGTTGAGCAGATGGAGAAAAGCAGACAGCGAAGCGCAGACGGAGAAGCACAGGCGAAGAAGAGCAGGCGAAGAAGAAGGATCAGGTGACCTTGCACAGAGTTATATCTCCTCGCTGACCACAAAGCCTCCTGGGGAAATGTAGTTCTTCTCCATCGGACAAACATTTGGAACTTGAGCATCACAAGTCAAACCCCCCAGTGCATTACGTGATGTTATGGTGTAGAATACTGATAACCAAAAATCATAAAACCATGACATTTGTGTAGCCTGAGAGGAATACAGGGCTTTTGTCCGTGTGTGTAGAGATAGGATTAGGAAAGCCAAAGCACAGATGGAACTGAACTTGGTGAGGTATGTGAAAGATAACAAGAAGGGGTTCTACAGGTATATAGTCAGGAGGAGACAGGCCAAGGAGAGTTTTCCTCCTCTGATGAAAGGTAATGGGGAGCTGGTTTCCTCAGACATAGAAAAAACTGAGGTATTCATTGAGTGCTTTGCCTCAGTCTTTATGGGTGGTCAGGATTCCATGTATGCCAGGACCATGAGCCTGTAGATGAGGGTGTGGGGAGTAGTTTCTGTCCCACTGTAATGGTGGAACAAGTCTGAGTCCTCCTCATGAAACTGAACGTGTATAAGTCTATGGGGCTGGATGATATCCGTCCTAGGCTTCTGAGAGAGATAGCTGATATGATGGAGAGCAGCTCAGCAACCACATTTGATAAATGATGGCTGTCTGGTGAAGTCTGTGGTGACTGGAAAAAGGGAAACGTTACTCCCATTTTTAAGAAAGGGAGAAAGGAAGACCCAGGGAACAGGCTGGTGAGCCTCACCTCTGTGCCTGGGAAGATCATGGGGCAGATCCTCCTAGAAGCTATGTTAAGGCACACACAAGACAAAGAGGTGATTCGAGAAGTAGGCCCATGAAAACCTAATGAGGTTCAATAAGGCCAAGTGCAGGGTGCTGCACTTGGGTGGAGGCAATCCCAGGTATTTATACAAACTGGGGAAGATCTCTTTGAGAGCAGCCCTGTGGAGAAGGACTTGGGGGTCACAGAATCACAGAATCGCAAGGTTGGAAACAACCTGCAAGATCATCTAGTCCAACCACCCTCCCATTCCTATTAGTACCACAATCTACTAAACCATATCTTGTAGCTCCTCATCCAGGCGCCTCTTGAACACTGCCAGGGACGGCAACTCCACCACTGGTTCTGGTGGACGTCCTGGTGGACGAGGGCCAACTGTGTTCTGGGCTGCATTAAAAAAGGAGTGGCCAGCAAGGAGAGGGAAGTGATTGTCCCCCTCTACTCAGCTCTTGTGTGGCCCCATCTGGAGTACTGCATCCAGGCCTGGGGTCCCCAGTGCAAGAAAGATGGAGCTTTTGGAGTGGGTCCAGAGGAGGGCCACTGAGATGATCAGAGGGCTGGAGCACCTCTCCTATGAAGAAAGGTTGAGGGAACTGGGCTTGTTTAGCTTGGAGAAGAGAAGTCTCTGGGAGACCTCATTGTGGCCTTCCAATACTTGAAGGGAGCATATAAACATGAGGAGGAATGGCTGTTTACGAGGGTAGATAGTGATAGGACAAGGGGGAATGGTTTTAAACTGAGACAGGGGAGGTTGAGGTTAGATATTAGGAGAAAGTTTTTCACACAGAGGGTGGTGACCCACTGGAACAGGTTGCCCAAGGAGGCTGTGGATGCCCCATCCCTGGAGGCATTCAAGGCCAGGCTGGATGTGGCTCTGGGTAGCCTGGTCTGCTGGTTGGTGACCTTGCACATAGCAGGGGGGTTGAAACTCGATGATCATTGTTGTCCCTTTCAACCCAGGCCGTTCTATGATTCTAGAATTCTGTGATCAAGTCCAACCACAACCTGACCATACTACCCTAACAACCCTCCACTAAATCATGTCCCTGAGCACCACATCCAAACTGTTTTTAAACACATTCAGGATGGTGATTCAACCACCTCCCTGGGGAGCCTATTCCCATGCTTAACCACCCTTTCTGTAAATAAGTTTTTCCTGATATCCAACCTAAACCTCCCCTGGCACAACTTGAGAGCATTTCCCTTCATCCTGTCACCTGACACCTGTAAGGAGAGACCAACACCACTCTTGCTGTAACATTGGGCCCCACACCAGTTTGAAGACCCTGAACCACACTGCTAACGACACTCACAGTATAGTCCACGTTTGGCACCTTCTCACTTGCATCTATTTAGACCGATGAAAGATGGACTGTGTGGACAACATTTTCTTAGCGATTATGCCATCATAGCAGCTGTAAAACAGTGAGTCATCTCCGCTGGTGCAGATTTTTATGAGCATGGGATGTGGACTCTTGTTCATCTCTAGCAAGAATGTACAGCTAATGGTGGTGGCTAAGTTAAACACTAGCATTTTGTAGCTGAGAATGTCATCTATTAAATAGTGTTATTGTGCTCTTTGTTGCTGTAGTTTCCTTAGAAATAAATAGGAGACAGTACTTTTGAAGCATCTGATGTGCATATTAAATATAGCTTATATTTAACAATCAGTAGAAAGCTCAATTGACTCATGATAATAGTATCATGATTATAGTAATTTGAAAAAAATCTCTAAGAACCTGTTTTTTTCTGAAACTTTCTGTATTTCAGCTCAACACCTTTTAATAAGGAAGAGTTATCAGCAATTTTGAAGTTTGGTGCTGAGGAACTTTTTAAAGAACCTGAAGGGGAGGAAGAGGAGCCTCAGGTAAATGGAACAATACATATGTACAAACCAAAACTGTGTTAAGTACTTTGTTGTAAAGAGAAACAACTTCTGTTTCAGGAGATGGATATAGATGAAATCCTGAAGAGGGCTGAAACTCGAGAAAATGAGTCAGGCCCATTAACTGTAGGAGATGAGTTACTTTCACAGTTCAAGGTATTGCTCTGTTCCTTTCATCCTCCCATAATTATACTTTTTTCTGTATGAATGTTAATTATTATTGTTATTTACCTTTATTTATTCCTGTGAAACAAATGCCACAATAAGTCAACTCTGTTAAATAGAATGTTTTTTCACCTATATGGGTAGTTACCACCAGTGCAAACACCTATGTCGATTGCTCCAAAAGTAATGCCTCCTATTTATTTTCATGCAAATTACAACAAAAGCAAAAGAGCACAATTCTCAGCTACAAAATGCTATTTTTCAACATAGTCACCACCAATTAGGCATGCATTTTCACCAGCAATGGGAAAAAAAATAATATCTGCATGATAGGGGGTGACCCACTGTTGCTGTTATCACTACTGAAACACACCACCCTCCGTCTCACCGTGCTTACATCCACTATTTGGTCTCCGTCAATGTTCAGCAAGCATCAATGAATGTCAATGTGTGCTATTTATTCCACGTGGAGGAATTCAGTGACACACCTTTGCTTCATAGGCACTTCCATGTCAGACACCGCGGGTATTGGTGAGAAGGTTCAACCTCTACTGCCATACTACCAGCATCTGCCTATGATATCGTGGGCCAACATAATGAAATAGGAGGCATTACTTTTGGAGCAGCCCTCATAAAAATACATAATGTGTTCTACTAACAAAACACAAAAGAGATTTACATATACATTAGTCTTTGATTTAATTATTAGAATACTGGGTAGGGCTGTTATTCATTTAATAGTTTACATTGTTAAACAACTGTAGTGCTTCTGAAAACAGAATGAAGTTTGGATTCCTTTGTTGATGACCTTTTAGAAATTTCAAGTTAAATTCCATTCAAACTTGAATGCCAGATCAAAGAATCATAGAATATCTTGGGTTGGAAGGGACTTGAAAGATCATCTAGTTCCAACCTCCCTGCTGTGAACAGGTTTGCCACCCACTAGATCAGGCTGCTCAGGAATCACAGAATCACAGAATGGCCAGGGTTGGAAGGGACCTCAAGGATCATGAAGCTCTAACTCCCCTGCCACATGCAGAGCCACCAACCTCCCCATTTAATACTAGACCAGGCTGCCCAGGGCCCCATCCAACCTGGCCTTGAACACCTCCAGGGACAGGGCATCCACAACCTCTCTGGGCAGCTGTTCCAGCACCTCACCTCTCTCTGTAAAGAACTTCCCCCTGACATCCAACCTAAATCTTCCCTCCCTCAACTTCAAACATTTCCCCTTGTCCTGCTGTTATCTACCCTTTCAAAGTGTTGACTCCCCTCCTGTTCGTAGGCTCCCTTTAGGTATTGAAAGGCTGCAATGAGGTCACCCCACAGCCTTCTTTTCTCCAGGCTGAACAAGCCCAGCTCCCTCAGCCTGTCTTTGTAGGGGAGGTGCTCCAGCCCTCTGATCATCTTCGTGGCCCTCCTCTGGACCCTTTCCAACAGCTCCCTGTCTTTTTTGTACTGGGGGCTCCAGACCTGGACACAGTACTCCAGATGGGGCTTCACAAGGGCAGATTAGAGAGGGACAATCACCTCCCTGTCCCTGCTGGCCACCCCTCTTCTGATAGAGCCCAGGATACCATTTGCTTTCCAAGCTGCAAGAGCACACTGCTGGCTCATGTTAAGTTTTTCATCCACCAGGACCCCCAGGTCCTTCTCTGCAGGGCTGCTCTCAAGGACTGCTCCTTCCAGTCTGTATATATGCCTGGGATTCCTCTGGCCCAAGTGCAGAACCTTGCACTTTGCTTTGTTGAACCTCATTAGATTCACCCAGGCCCACCTTTCAAGTCTGTTGAGGTCCCTCTGAATGGCATCCCTTCCTTCCACTGTGGAATCCATCCAACCTAGCCTTGAACACCTCCAGTGGGGCATCCACTACTTTTCTCAGCGACCTGTTTCACTCAATCACCACCCTCTGAGTGAATAATTTACTCCTAATATTTAATCTAAATCTCCCCTCTTCTAGTCCCCTAGGGGCCATTGCTTGTCACTGGCCTCCACCTGGACATCGAGCCCTTGACCACAGTCTGTTGAGTGTGACCATCCAGCTAATTCCTTATTCACTGAACAGTCCAACCTTCAAATCCATATTTCTCCAATTTAGATATAAGAATACGGTGTAGGACTATGTCAAACACCTTGCAGTAGCCTAGGTAGATTACATCAGTTGCCCTTCCTTTGTCCATCAATGCTGTCATTCCATCATGGAAGGCCACCAGATTGGTCAGGTATGAACTGCCCTTGGTGAAGATGTGCTGACTGCCATGGATCATATCCTTGTCTTGCATGTGCTTTACTAAGTCTCCTAGGAAGAGCTGCTCCACAATCTTCCCAGGCACAGAAGTGAGGCTCACTGGCCTCTAGTTCCCTGGGTCTTTATTTCTCTCTTTTTTAAAAATGGGAGTAACGTTTCCCTTTTCCAATCTCTTGGCAACTTCACCTCTGAGCAATGACTTCTCAAATATGACAGAGTGGTTTGACAACCATGTCAGCCAGTTCCCTCAGGATCTGGGGATATACGTCATGGATACATGTCATTGGGTTCCATAGATTTCATAGAATCATTAAGGTTGGAAATGTGTTGCAGTACGCGCCCGTTCCGATTTCCCAGGAGACCGCAGCTTGGCCAATTACTGAGGTGACACCAATATGATGAGCAGCAAATGGCATTTATTACACGTATACACTACCTTATATAGCCTAATTACTTCGTCTACGCCCCTAAGGGCACACACCACACATCAATCATTAGAGCAGGGAGGGAGCTTAACACATCAGACCCCGCGGGGGGGTCTCGCAGTCTCGCAGTTGCTGACAACATCTCCCCCTCTCCATGCTCAAAAAAGCATACTACAACTCGAGAGGACCCTAACCGCGTACACCCCGAAATCCCCGTATTGCGCCTATACATGCCATTGTCCTCTCGGTTAAGCCTTGCCCCGTTACATCCCGATTCGCAAAATAATCCTACCCTAATAACCCTACAATACTAGTAAAGTTATAGACAGAGAGATTAGAGATTAGAGTGATTGCTGATAGCTCTAGTGGCACTATCTATGCCCAATATATACCAACGTTGTCTCAGGTACCTGTTGGAAAGTACCTCAAAAATAAGAAACGTCTGTTCAGTATCAAGGCAGATGTCTCAAGCCTTGAGAGCAGTGCTCTCACAAACCTGCTGTATGGAATTGCTTGTTCTCCAGGCCTCAATTTGGCCACCTGCCCCTGAAGGGACCCATTCTAATGCCCATAATGTATACTGCACTGGCTTAAGCACCATGCACATCAGATTTGGTACATGCAGAAAGAGAAGGCCTAATACTGTCAGGATTTCTAATGCATTTAAAACAAGGAGTGATTTCAATCCCTGTTTCTCTACACAATCTATCAGGCATGTGATGTCTTTCCGATTGAGGGATACCCCTCCCAGGCCTCTGTTACCGTTCCCTACTACCAGGAAGATCTCTAGTACTTTTCCTTCCTCTATCAGGCTAGATCTAAACTTCCCACAATCTGTTAGTGCATCTCTCTTAACTTCCAAATGCAAATTCACCTTTCTCCTTTCGCTATCCTGTTCAGTCACAGCTGGAAGCTGCGAGCTCCGCACCGCTCCCACTGTGCCCATCTCCCTTTGATCATGCACTGACTGTTGTAGAGGCTTCTGATTGGTTGCATGCGCACTCAATCTTGTAAAAGGATGTGTGGGTCGAGTCAATGGGTCTGAACACTGTGGCAGAGAGCGGGTCCGGAGACTATCGTTATTTCTTTCTCCATCGGGTGTAACCTGAGCAGAGGGCGCCGGCCGGACGCCACCTACACCTTCAGGTGCAGTCAGAGTGGACAGTGCTGGCCGTACACTATCATCCGAGCACCTGTAAGCTACATCGCTTCCCTTTCTCTCTGCTGTTTTTTCTTCTACCGCTTCTCTAACTTTTGACCAATCCATACCCGAGCCTTGCCCGCAGTCCCCACCCCCCTGGGTGTTACTGCATTCCACCTCCTGAGAGGAGACAGCAAGTGTCCCATCCCAGCTCACTTTTCCCCCTGCCCCCACAGGTGGTGTTAGGTTACACAGAGAAGGATACAGTGGTTGTCCTGGATACGGCTGAGAAGTTTCAGCGACCTTGGATTCCTGCACTTGAGCCGTTTTGCAAGATAAAAGTGCAGACAGTTCAGCGCAGTCTTCTACTTGTTTATGCAAAGCTGAATCCGAGGGGGCGGTGAAGGGGGATGCCGATGGACGAGATGTTAATAGTCATAGCTGAGGGCATATTTGCGGTGTTCTCTTCCTCAGTGGACCTGCAAGAAAGCATGCTCCCCGCACAAGTAAGCATAATCCTGCCCAAGAGGCGCTCCCCCATTCCCATGGTTAACGCGAGGGGCGAGGGGCTCACTGAGGTACGGGACCCCGATCTTGGGTAGGCAGAGTTGCATTGTCTGGCCCATTTGGTGTTCCGGGGGAGGGGCCCTGGGCCTAAGGCACCCTCCCATCCTCGTTTCCCTGCGGCACTATGACAAACTTCCAACATTGGTGTGCAACATGTCCAGCTCCGCCGCACAATTGGCACCGCCTCTCCGGTCCCTGTGAACCACCCTGCCCCGTCTTCTCAGGGCACTGCGCCTTGAAGTGACCACGCTGCCCACACTTAAAGCACGGGCCTTTATCAAGAATAACATGCATAAGGTTCACCACATCATATGGCAAAAGACTAGAAGCCATAAGAGCTTCCACTGCTGCCATAGTGACAGGGGAACGCAGGCCTTTGCTTTTAACTAAATCCGAAAGACAAGTAATCGCTTTGGAATCCAAAGGAGTCCAAGCTGGACCCTCTGGTTTTACCACCACCGGCAGAGTAAGCGTGGTACCTGCTGGATCTGCGGCCCGTATGTCTTCTCTCACACGAGCCCAATCAGTGAGGGTAGGCGGGCCCCATGAAGCTGTCGATATGGGACCGCGGACCCCGGAGCCATCCCCGTCGGAACGCCCCCCCCACAGCAAAGCTGTGCGGGACAATCCACGCCCCTCGGGGGGTGGCCGCCGTAGCAAGCGGAATCGGGCAGTAGGTGAGTCCCGCCCCCACTGTCGCATTCCACAGGTCGTATCACGGCTCCCCCAGACATCTCTCCCTCCTCAAGGACCCTCTTATCAACTGTGCTAGAAGTTATACCGCTTTCCTCCGCCGACCCCCCTTCCCCGTTATCTTTACAGGGCTTAAGTGAAGGATATACGCTGCGAGCCGGGTACGGAGGTGGGTTCTCCTTTTTATGGTATGATCGCTCCTGCTTCACTTCGTTCTTCTTTATCTCCAGGGTCGTTGTTTCTGGTGGGGCCGAAGGAGTCAGCGCCATCTTGCCCTCCAGCGAATCTGTAGGGGAGACAAGACCCCCCCCTGGCCCTAACCCCAGCAGCTCCCTAGCTCGGTCACCTGCAATCTTCTCCTCTTTCGCTTTCCTAAGAGCTGTTAAAATCAATCCCCACACCTTAAACTCTGCTGCTTTCTGAGTAAACATTGCCCTCTGTGAGAGCGCGGCAGTAAACGAATCCCAATTATCAGGATCATATAAGTTAGAAGGGGATGATAATAGCCCCTCTTTCTCCAGCAACGAGAGTGTCGCTGAAATCTCCTTCTTAGAAGGAACATTTTTCCCGCAATAAATTTTGCATGCATGAAAAATCACCTTTATGACGGCTTCCATAATGCCTCCGGCCGAACTTACACCTGGCCTCTTCTGGCGTCTCCCCCCTAGCGTCCTAGGGGAATCCTGGCTCCTATTCCCGAGCCTCCCACCTGACGAGGAGTAATGGCCACCTCCTCCCCGTGCCCGGGCTTCCACTACTCCGCGGATTTGAATTTACCGCTACCGCAGTGGGTTCCTGCTTCTGGCAGACAGCTGACTCACTCCCAGGAATCACGTCGGTCGGGGTCACCACTTGTTGCAGTACGCGCCCGTTCCGATTTCCCAGGAGACCGCAGCTTGGCCAATTACTGAGGTGACACCAATATGATGAGCAGCAAATGGCATTTATTACACGTATACACTACCTTATATAGCCTAATTACTTCGTCTACGCCCCTAAGGGCACACACCACACATCAATCATTAGAGCAGGGAGGGAGCTTAACACATCAGACCCCGCGGGGGGGTCTCGCAGTCTCGCAGTTGCTGACAACAAAATGATCTTTAAGATCATCTAGTCCACCTGTCTACCTACCACCAATATTGCTTTCTAAACCATGTTCCTTAGTACCACCTCTACATATTTCTCAAACATCTCCTGGGACTCCACCACCTCCCTGGGTAGCCTGTTCCAGTGCCTGACCATTCTTTAGGAGAATAAGTTTTTCCTAATATCCAACCTGATTCTCTCCTCCCACAACTTGAGGCCATTCCCTCTTGTGCTGTCACTGTTACCTGGGAGAAGAGGCCAACCCCCACCTTGTCACAACCTCCTTTCAGGGAATTGTAGAGAGCAAGACAATCTCCCCTGGGTCTCCTCCAGACTAAACTATCCCAGTTCCCTCAGCTGCTCCTTGTAAGACTTGTGCTCCAGTCCCCTCACCAGCTTTGTTGCCCTTCTCTGGATGCACTCCAGGGCCTCAATTTATTTCTTGTAGTGAGGAGCCCAAAAATGAATGTGGTACACAAGGTGCAGCCTCACCAGAGTTATGTACAGGAGGACAGTCACTTCCCTAGTCCTGCTGGTAGCACTATTTCTGATACAAGCCAGGATGCTATTGGCCTTTTTGACTACCTGGGCATACTGCTGTCTTATGTTCAGCCAAGTGTTGACCAACACTCCCAGGTGTTGCATGGGGTTGTTGTGACCAAAGTGCAGGACCCAACACTTTGTCTTGTTGAACTTCATCCCATTTACCTCAGCCCAGCTATCCAGCCTGTCTAGATCCCTTTGTAGGGCCTTCCTACACTCAGTCAGATTGATGCTTCCTCACAGCTTGGTGTTATGTGCAAACTGACTGAGGGTGCACTCACTCCCCTCATCCAGATCATCTTAAACACATACACATTCAGTCTCATCAGGTGGTCTCGAACTTGCTTTTCACTTACAGTAGGAGGGATTTTTTTTTTTCCCCCAGCCTCCACCTAGAACTAGTTCAGGGATATGGCAGATGTGGAAATCCAACTACCAGTGAAGAATGAGTTCCTCAGCCTTCTCTGTGTCTGTTGTAGAAAGTTTTCCCTTCTCATTTATCAGAGGGGTATGTTTTCTTTGGCCTTTCTCTTCTGACTAATGTACTTATAGAATACCTTTTTGTTATTTTTTACATCCCTTGCCAAGTTCAGTTACACGTGCGTCTTGGCTTTCCTGATCCTATCTCTGCACATCTGGATGGCATCCCTGTATTTTTCCCAGGCTGCAGGTCCTTGTTCAGCCATACCAATTTCCTGCCTTCTCTGCTTGATTTCTTATGCTGGGGGATGAAGAGCTCTTGCGTTCTCAGAAAGGTGTCCTTAAAGAGCTGCCAGTTCTGTTCCTTTCCTGTGTCCCTAAGGACAATTTTCTATCTCATCCAATAATTCCTTAAACAGCTGGAAATTAACTCTTTTGAAGTTCAGGCTCTTGACTGTTATTTGCCAGGCCCATATTCCTCAAGATCGTGAACTCTACTAGGGCATGGTCGCTACAGCTCCTGCTGTCTCTGATCTTAACCTCTCTAATTTTTGCATTTATGAACACTAGGTCCAGTGTTGCTTCACCTCCGGTTGGTACGTTTAATATTTGTACCAGGAAGTTATCATTGATGAACCCCAAGAGTTTCCTGTATTGCTTGCAGCCCACCATGTTGCGTTCCCATCGGGATGAGAGCCTGTGAGCAGGCTGCCTGCTGCTCTTCCTGGGCAAACTGCCCTGGAAATTGTCATACTATGCTGTTTGCCTATGCTAGTTGCTAGTGCTTCCTGGGGGCTGCCTTTCTATGTGTGGATGTGTTAGGCTGCTGCTCCTGGTCCTGCCCATGCCTCCTCAGCTACTCTCATGAGGGGTAGGGTCTCTTGGCGACTCTCTCCTCACCCTGGAGTCTCCTTGATTTCCAGACATCCCTCGCATACCACGATCCCATGTTCCACTGCAGAACATGCCTGCTGATTGCTTCAGAGAATGACCAGAAGTGCTTAACTGGATAACACATAAAATATTATAGTGGGACCGAAGTGTGTGTTTGTATCTTGTGATTGTTTTTGTTTGCTTGTGTGTGATTTTGTTTGTTTTTATTTAAAGCAGGGAAGGACTTTGCTTTAGATCAGATTACTAAATCACCTTCCTGCTGATTATTAATTTGCAACATACTGTGGTTTCCACAGTTTATTAATGTTTGGTTAGTTCTACATAATAACATAGAATTTTATGTTAACTTGAGCATTCAAATGCAGTTAGCCCTGCTTTGAAGGAAATTAAACAACAATTGCACAGCTATTGAGAAGGTATTTCATAGTGTTTCTATATTAATTAACTTTTAAAAGAAAAAAGATCCTCATCTTTATATTCAGCTATCTTGCATGGAACGTATGTTTCATATATGAAAAATACTTTCATTAGAGATATTGCTTCCTGAAGTATTTAATATGCATACATAATTTTTACATAAATAAAATATGCCATTCCAAACTATTTTCCTAAAATGATATTTACTGAGTCCTTGTTTAAATAAAATCATGTATCTATTTGGTGAAAATACTTATGTTCCAAAACATAAGGTAGCTAACTTTTCCAATATGGATGAAGATGACATTGAGTTGGAACCAGAACAAAATCTAAGAAACTGGGAAGAAATCATTCCAGAAGTCCAGTGGCGACGAATAGAAGAAGAGGAAAGACAAAAAGAACTTGAAGAAATATATATGCTTCCAAGAATGAGAAACTGTGCAAAACAGGTATCTCTGGGTTTTGACTAATTTTTTTCTTTGATACTTACTTGCTGATGTTTTGGCTTGTACTTTTGTGTTGTGTGGTTTTTGTGTGTTTTCCCCCCCAAATATTTTTTATGCTCTAGGTAACACATAAATAAAATGTTTTAGTCACATAGCTTTGAACTAGTTACTCTGAAATTCCAGATCAGCTTTAACGGAAATGAAGGGAGATGCAGTAGGAGCAGAAGATATTCTGGATCTGATAGTGATTCCATCTCAGAAAGAAAACGACCAAAAAAACGTGGACGACCACGAACTATTCCCCGTGAAATCATTAAAGGATTTAGTGATGCAGAGATTAGACGGTAAGATGTGTGGGGATGTGTGTGCTTAATGGGACAAAGCAATTTATTTTATCATCTTGAGTTTGAAAATGTGGAAAACAAGTTTATCTTTCTTGACCTTAGTTGAAATTTTTTATTCTAGGCATTTAAAGCTTTCCTTTTTGTAGTTTGTACCCATTTAGGTGTGCTATAAAATTGAGTTGAATTTTTTTTTTTTTTCCAATATTTAATGTGTTATTCTTCCTGCATCCCCTGAAGACAGTGATTTTAAAAGCAATTGTTTCAGTGAGCATGCTTTTATTAAAAAAAACGTGACCTTCCCATCATTTTACCTAAAAACTAGTTGAAGAAAGGATACACACATCTTTGTGAAAATACCTATAAAAGGCTAAAATAATTTTCTTTTAAACTTCTTGCCACTGTAATTATTGTTATATAATGCATTGTAAAACTAAGAAAAAACCACTATTGTGATGAGTGAATCTATACAGCTGGTCCCATCAATATAAAGTGCTAAAAATACCGTATTTTGATTGAAGGAGGAGAAATTGTTTTGTTTTACTTTGGTTTGTGAAATGCTATTTTCTTCTATAATGTTTCTGTAAAATACTGCAATGCTTATAAAATATTTTTCATTGTATGAATAACTTTTTAAGAGTCTTGTTCCCTTTCCATTTTATCTGGCAACACAGTAGTTTGCTGTTTTTGTCAAGGGGTATTCTCCTGCTTGCACTAGTAACTTGGGTTCTTGATTGTTGAGTTAAAAAATATGTATAATTTTTTTAAAATTTCATTCCCTCTCCTTCCTGGATATTTCTAGTTTCTTTCCCTCATTCAATTACTTATGCATTTCTTCTGAGGGCAGCAACATTCCTTTATCTTTGTTACTATGTTTTCCTAAATCTTAAAATCACCTCAAAATTACAGACTGCTCCTCTTTATTATATGAAGCCTAACACAATGTCTGAATTGTCTATTCGCTGTAAATCCACATATGATTTCTATGATTAGACACATTGTGTTGCTGAATCCTTTGTCTCATGAAACTAGTAAAGTAACCTTTGAAATAAATTCTATCATCTATTGTTTGCATCAGTTATTAAGCCAAATAGAACTCTGGATTTAAATGTGGCTTAATTGATATAATAATCTGACCTAGTCTCTCTAGTTCTTATGTCTTTGCATTGTCCATATAGTATTTTACTAACACTTTACAAATACATTTTAAACCTAGTATAGTTAAGCATATATTTTTAACTGCAGAATTATTTTCTATTACTAGATTTATCAAGAGTTACAAGAAATTTGGTGGCCCACTTGAAAGGTAAACTTATCTGATTATATTTGCATAGCAAATTGGAATCTTATTTTGTGTATTCTTTTCTATAGCTGCTTTTAACTGCATGGATCAAAAATTTACACAGCATAGCAAGTGTTGGTGAATGTTAACTTACATGATCAATTCTCTAATTTCAAAGTCTGAAGGGAATAATTGATAAATACATAGGTGACAAAAGGAAGACTTGGGAAAATTTTGGTCCATTGCTGAATGAGATTGGGAACCTAGTTAAATGGGATAGGGAAAAGGTTGAGGTACTGAATGCCTTTCTTTGCCTCAGTCATTACCAGCAAGATTGACCCTCAGGAATCCCAAGTTCCAGAGACCTGGAGGAAGGAAAATGTACCCTTAGTGGGAGATGATCTGGTCAGAGAATACTTAAGCAAATTGAGAATTTGCATGTCCGTGGGCCCTGATGAGGTGCACCCACCAGTGCTGAAGGAACTGGCAGATGTCATTACAGGGCCACTCTTGATAATCTTTGCTCTATCATGATGACTGGGAGAAGTACCTGAAGACAGGAGTGACATTTGTTTCACTCCAAGGAGGTTCAACAAAGCAAAGCGCAAGGTTTTGCACTTGGGTTGAAGTAATCCCAGATATGTATACAAACTGGGATAACTCCTTGAGAGTAGCCCTGCTGAGAAGGACTTAGGGGTCCTGGTTGATGAAAAACTTAACATGAGCCACCAGTGTGTGCTTGCAGCCTGGAAGGCCAGTGGTATCCTGGGTTTCATCAGAAGAGGGGTGGCAAGGGAGGTGATTGTCTCCCCCTCCTCTGCACTCATGAGGCCCCAAGTCTGGGGTCTCCAACACAGGAAAGATGTGGACCCAAGGGCTGGAGCACCTCTCCTATGAAGATAGGCTGAAGGAACTGTGCTTTTTCAGCCTGGAAAAGAGAAGGCTGGGGAGAGACCTCATTGTGGCCTTCCACTATTTAAAGGGAGTTTATAAACATGAGGAAAATCAACTTTTTGCAGTGGTAGATAGTGATAGGACAAGGGGGAATGGTTTTAAACTACAGATTAGGTGTTGGGGGAAGTTTTTTACTGAGGCAGTGATGAGGCACTGGAACAGGTTGCTTGGAGAGGTGGTGGATGCCCTGTCCTTGGAGGTGTTTAAGGCCAGGTTGGATGGGACCCTGGGCAATCTGATCTAGTATGTGATCTAGCAGCTGGCAATCCTGTCTGTGGCAGGGCGGTTGAAACTTGATGATCCTTGAGGTCCCTTCCAACCCAAGCCATTCTATGACTCTATAAAGAAGGAGGACCCAGGGAACTATTGGCCAGTAAGCATCCCCTCTGTGCATGGGAAAGGTGATGGAACAGCTAATCCTGGAAACTATTTCCAGGCACACAAAGGACAAGAAAGTCATCAGGAGTAGCCAACATGGTTTCACCAAGGGATAGTTATATTTGACTAACCTGATAACCTTCTGTGATGAAATGACTGGCCTGATGGATGAGAGGAGAACACTTGACACTGTCCCCCACATGATCCTCATAGACAAGCTGCTGAAGTGACCATCACTGGATGGGCTGACAGTGAAGTGGTTTGAAACCTGGCTGAATGGCCAGGGCCAGAGGGTAGTGGTCAGTAGTAACTAGTGGTGTACCCCAGGAGTCAATACTGGGTCCAGTCCTGTTAGACAATTTCATTAATGAATCTGGACATTGGGGCAAAGTGTGCCCTCAGCACATCATCAGATGACATAAAATTGGAAGGAGTGGTGGATATACCAGAGAGTGATGCTGCCATCCAGAGAGACTGGGAAAGTCTGGAGAGATGGGCTGACAGGATCCTCATGCAGTTCAAGAAAGGGAAGTGCAAAGTCACGCACCTGAGGGAGAACAATCCTAGACACCACTGCATGCTGGGGGAGCCACTCAGCTGGAAAGCAGCCTTGTAGAAAAGACCCTGGTGGACACCAAGCTGAGTATGAGCCAGTAATGGGCCCTTGTCACACAGAAGTCTAATGGTATCATGGCTGCATTAGGCAAAGTATCACCGGCAGGTCAAGAGAGGTGATCCTTTCCCTCTACTCAGCATTGGTGAGCAGTGTCCAGCTCTAGGATCCTCAGAACAAGGGAGATATGGAGCTACTGAGAGAGTCCAACAAAAAAGGGGTCACCAAGATGATCGAGGGACTGGAGCATTTCTCTTTCAAAGAGAGACTGAGAAAGCTGAGACTGTTTAGCCTGGGGAAGAGAAGGTTTGGGGGGGATCTACTAAAACTAATGTTTTAGAGCTCTGAAATTGTACTTCTTTTCTTACAGGTTAGATGCTATAGCTAGAGATGCTGAGCTAGTTGATAAATCTGAAACAGACCTTAGACGTCTGGGAGAACTTGTACATAATGGATGCATTAAGGCTTTAAATGATAATGACTTTGGCCAAGGAAGAACAGGTAATTTGTATTTATGGATCGGGGAGAGGAGTAAAAATGTAAAGAGTCTGAATTCTTCTTGCACTCTGGTTATAACTGTATTTCTTGGGGGATAAGTGAAATAAAAATGTTAGTATATTTGGTGAAATTTTAAAAAGAAAAAAAAAAACATCCACAGCTTTTTTTCCCCCTTCCCTGTATGCATTGTCACAGTAGAATGCAGCACATTTTTGTTTTTATCATGAAATTTGAAAGTAATCTGCTATTATTTGGAAGACCTTGAGATTCTGAAGTTTAGATTAGAATGTTTAGTTAAGAAAAAGTTATTTGTTATAATTGAATGTCTGTTGCTATAGCATAAGTCTGTGGGGTTTATTTTCTTGACACTTGTCTATGACATTCACATAAAGTCTGGATATTTTAATAATTCGATCCTTTATTTTAAGGTGGTAGATTTGGGAAAGTTAAAGGCCCAACATTCCGAATATCAGGAGTGCAGGTGAATGCAAAGCTAGTCATTTCTCACGAAGAAGAGTTGGCACCATTGCATAAATCCATTCCTTCAGATCCAGAAGAAAGGAAAAGGTATTTTTTTTCCTCCTAAAGAAAACCATAATCTAGAAAATTATTCAAGGCTTATACGCGTATGTTTAACCAGTCCAGACTCTAAGCACACTAGGACACCAGTGTCTCTTCATTCCCTGTAAGAAATGACAGCATAATCTGCTCCACATCCTTTGTTTATTCTTTCTTCCCTGTCCTTAGAAGCCAGTATTTGCTTTGGCTTCTGAAACATGTTCATTGGAGACTGAATTCAGTTACAACTAATTACTCCAGACTTGAAATTAGGCTTGTTGAGGCCTTTCTGTTACCTCTGCCTGATGGAAAGCAATATCTGTCAAAGTGGAACAGACAGTAATCCTTGGTGGTAGTTTCAGCCGTCTGAACTTTTCAGCATGCTACCTTGCATATCACAGTCCCTAGACTATGCTTATGCAGTTAGCAGTTACACTAGAGTGATATTTGAAGCTTGTCTTCATTGTTAGCCAATTCTGACTCAGTCCATGGTCACAGATATAATATTGAAATATTTTCAATATTTCAATAAATATTTTATAGAAACTGTAAGAAAATCTGATTATAGTTATCTGGATTACTAACCTAAAATACCAAGATGAAACTTTTTATTTTTACTATTCTTAGTGAATTCCCTTCTCCCTTGCTAAGTTTGCAAAGATGGCTTATTTATGTTTCTAATTTGTTTCTACTAGATATGTCATCCCATACCACACCAAAGCAGCTCATTTTGATATAGATTGGGGTAAAGAAGATGATTCCAATCTGTTAATAGGTATCTATGAATATGGTTATGGAAGTTGGGAAATGATAAAAATGGATCCTGATCTCAGTTTGACACAGAAGGTATGTCATCCACAAAATTTCACTGAGGACTTTTTGCTTGTTTAAATAATAATGCCAATAAGATCGGTTACTGAAATAACTTATTTTATGATAGATTAAATTTCACACAAGTTAGGACAGTTGTACTCTTTTGTACTCTTGTGGTAAATTATTAGATTTCAAGATCTTGTGTATTCATTTGAATTATACCTTCTTACAATGTTATATTATTTCTATACATTTGAATCTCTATCACTTGAATTCTCTTTTATCTGTTTCCCTATTTTAGATGCTCTAGTTATGTTATTTTTGAGCTTTTGTAAGGAACGCTTTTGGGGGGGAGGGGTTATGTTTGTTTTTTTCACCCCTCCTTTTTTTTCTGTCCCTAGTTACTTTACTTGAAACTGCCTTTAATTCTCAACATTTAGAATAGCTGTACTCATCATACTACTAGTATTATAATGGCTGTCTAGAAGTAATGAGAAACATATATTTAGGGAAAGACTGGAGTGAAGCAAACTTGGTGACATTGCCAACAACCTGTAGCTTTGGGATATGATGGGCCATGGTTTAATGATTTCCTACCTGTGCCTTCTATTATTTTTCCTGTTTTATAAAAATATCATCTGAAATCCAGGAAGAAAACTAACTCCAATGCAGGGTTAGCAGCATTCCTTTATTCCTCATGATGCGCACTGGGCAACTTGACAAGCAAGCATGCTCTCTCAGAGCTCAGGTTCTACATTTAAACAATTAAGATATACATATGCAGTACATTGGCATACATATTCACTCTTTTTCATGGTCTCATAGATATGTGCTAATGTCCCTTTGAGCATGCTCAGTGGTACCTAGGGTGGTCGAGTGCTCACCTACTTCTTCCCCTTTTTTTAACCATCAGCTTCATCACTGAAACCTTTGACTCACTTTCTTCACTTTTCTCCAGTTTGGAAGATTTCCATTGCTTATTAGGCCATAGTGAGCCAGTTCTTAAAAACTATGTATGTGGAACCCAAGGAAAATGTCCTTGCACATTGTGAGGAAAAAGATAAAAATATTCTATTGTGACTCCAGTGCAAAATTATTGAGGAAAAACAAGACTGTTCACCCACTGAAGTGAAAATGGAAAGTTTCAAAGCTATCACTTATGCTAAACTAATATATTGGTTCTTAAACTGATGTACTAATCCCTATTGCTAAACAAACCAACCTATATCAAAACCACTCATTTATATTTTTGGCTTCTGAAATATGCTGTGGTAATGAGTTCTACATTCAGAAGAAGCACAAGGCAGAAATAGATAACTGTACAGGAGTTCTGAATTTCTTAGGTAAATTATGAAAGTGAAAACAAATTTAAGACTAGTTTCTTCAGTTTACTGGAAATTCTGTGAGGCCATTTCCAAGATTCTATATTACTTGTGCGTTAGAAGAAAATTATCTGTTCGTTCAAGCATGCTATCATGTTTGCCAGGTATAGTTGGAATGGATTCATTTGCTACCTTTTTTTTTTTTCCTCCTTTCTTAATGCAGCTTTTCCTGTTCCCAGAGCTCCAGTCTAGCAACTTCTAGATTTGGTAGTGTGTACTCATAGTTGATACTACCATTGCTCTCCCTTTAGATTTTACCTGATGATCCAGATAAGAAACCCCAAGCTAAGCAATTACAGACTCGTGCAGACTACCTCATTAAATTACTGAATAAAGACCTTGCAAGAAAGGAAGTGCAGAGACTTGCTGGTGCAGTAAGTAAAGCTTGACATTCAGTAGTGAGACAGACACACTTATACCGGCACATCAATAGATTTTTTTTGTCCTTAGTTCTACTTTTCTTTGCAGAATTTTCTCTGCATCGCTTACCACATTAATATGAGACTAATTTGAGGAATGAATTACAGATTTAATATTGTTTTATTGCCTCTTATTTTTATATATTCTCTTATTACACTAAACTCAGTCTCTAGTCCTGAGAAAAGTGGTGGTCATTAGCGCTATAAGATGAATGCTTTATTTAACATAAAAACAAGTTCTTTCTGCAACTGTGATGCAGACACTTGTCAGTTGACATAATAAAGGTACTGATTTACATTCAGGGCAATTCAAAGAGGAAAAAAACAAGAAGTAAGAAGAATAAAGCAATAAAGACTGCAAAAACAAAAGAAATAAAGAATGACTCCTCATCACCACCCTCAGAAAAATCTGACGAGGATAATGAGGTAAACATCTTGCATATGATAAAGATCATTCAGTTGTTTGTCGGTGTACAATCAATAAGTATACAGAGGTTAGGCTTAGTAAGATTATCACAGCAGAAAAAATAATCAAAATAAATGGAAATGCTCACTAGTACCATAGGCTCACAACAAACTCCACAAGAAAGAAGCTCAATTACAAGTGACATCACACAGTTTCAGTGTTCTTTAAAGACTTGAGCATGGAAATGAATGACTAGTCCTCATTTTTGTTTGCAACTGCATCTAGCTCTATTTGATAGGTATTAAACTGAAGTCTAAAGAAATCACATGCATAATAAAAAATACATTTCAATCTGTTGGTTACAAAACTTTTATAGCTAGAAACTCAGTTTGATGTAATATATGCTTGTGTATTTCAGGATGAGATTGTTTCAGTGAAATATCCACATAAAAAAATAAAAGCAGAAAAAGAAAATGAAGAAAAAGATGAGCCAGATGTTGGTATAAAGAAGGAAGCTGGAGAAAAAAGAGAGACAAAAGAAAAGGAAAATAAGAGGGATTTGAGAAGGGAGAAAAAAGAAAAAGAGGATAAGAAAGAATTAAAATATATTAAAGAAAAGAGAGAAAACAAAGTAAAAGAATTCACACAGAAAGTAAAAGAAGTAAAGGAAGAGAAGGTAACTAGGTTTATTTTTCTTATATAACACTAAAAAAGGCCACCAGGTTTTGTGAACAATTTTGGGTTTAGAAGGTATCACTTACTTTACAATTGTGATTGAAATCTTTTGCATAACTTGAAGTTTTATTTTTACCACTTGCAAATACAAAGACAGACAAAAAAAAAAATGGGAAATTACATCTTTAAAGGGGTAATTATAGCTTGCGAATGGAAGTTGTGTATGAAATTCATAACTTTTCCATTCTCATTCTCCATCCCTCAGAGAGAAAATAAAATGTACCATAATTGAATGTCAGAATACGTTCTTTTCTTGTTATTACTGGAGAAAATGTCATAATTATGGTGATTGCCTAATTACAGTATAATTCTAGCCAAAAAATAAGGTTTGTTGATCAGATGTTTTCATGTTTGTTCTTAGGTAAATGAAATGAAATCTGAATATAAAGAAAAAAATAAAAAAGTTCCATTATTGGATATTCCAGTTCATATTACTGCAATTAGTGAACCAGTTCCTATATCTGATGAATCTGAAGAACTGGATCAGAAGACATTCAGTGTGGTAAGTCCCTTGTTGATAATTTAGTGTTTACATTTGATGTTCTAAATGAACACAATTTCTGATGTCCTTGATTCTGCTATTAGGCATTACAACACTGATATCTATTGTCAGTAAAATCTCAGAATGATGGAGAGGCATCTACACTATACTAAAGTATGTTTTGTTTTCAGGCCAGCAGTTTTGTTTTATTGTATTTATACAGTATATTGAAGGATATTTGTCCACTGGCCTGTGTGCAGAATAATTTTAAAATACAGACTGTGAAGATACATCATCAAGCATAACTCACATATATACTGCTCCTTAAGGGACAGAAACAAATTTTAAACACAGTTGCTGTAGTCTCTCAGTTCTGGCCTTATCAAAATACCCCTTTCCTCTTTGTAAGTGAATGAGAGAAAGTAGCTCTTGAAGACTGTGTGTTAGACACAGGAAGGAACAAATCTGAAAGTCCTTAGTAATATCTTGCCAGAGTAATCTCTCCGATACCAAACAGACCACAACATAATCAATATTGTAAGCTAAAAGTTAGGTACACTTAATCTATACAGTTTTATAGGTCGATTGGAGTATTTGGAAAGCTAATTTTCTGCTGTGGAACTTCTATTATTCAGTTTTAAACAGTTTTCTGTTACTGCCAGATGGGTTTACTGGATCTACAGCAGTATTGGCTGTGAAAGGCAAATTAACTGTTCTCATCAGTGTGATACTGACCAGTTTACATACATGTTTTTTTTGTTGTTGTTATATTGTTTAGTTTTTTTAATTTAAACATAAGCTAATCATCCATTATTTCCATTATATCTTGCGTGGATAGGTGACTGAAAAGCATTTGATGCCCATACATAGTTATAGAATCATATCATAGAATGGCTTAGGCTGGAGGGGACCTTAAAGATCATCTAGTTCCAACCCCCCTGCCATGGGCAGAGTTGCCAACCACTAGACCAGGCTGCCCAGGAACCTATCCAACCCGGCCTTGAATGCCTCCCGGGATGAGGCATCCACAATTTCTCTGAGCAAATCTGTTCCAGTGCTTTGCCATCCTAAATAAGGTTTTTCTTCTTAACATCTAACCTAAATCTCCCCTCTTTTAGTTTGAAACCATTCCCCTTTGTCCTGTCATTATCAGACCATTTAAAAAGTTGGTCCCCCTACTGCTTGTAAGCTCCCTTCAAGTACAGGAAGGCTGCAGTGAGGTCTCCCCAGGGGAATTCACATGTTGGCACTCTGTGGACTGCCATTTTGACTCCAGCTCGTAGTGGTGGGACCCACCTGGAGTAAAGTTTATGATATTGCAACATTGCCACTATTGCTTCCAACACACTGAAGTCGATATTCAGCTCTGTACACAGTTTGTTCTCTGGTCATAATCTGCTGATTCATGCAAACGAGCTGATCAAGACAATCTACATTTTGTGGTGTGACAGCTGTGCATGGCTGTCCAGAACATGGCTTGTCTTTTACATCACTGTTGCCACTGCTGAAACACACCACTCACTCCTCACTGTGCTCACATCCACTATTTGGTCTCCATAAGTGTTCAGCAAGTGTTGATGAATGTCAGTGGCTGTCATTTTTTTCATATGGATGAATTCAGTGACACAGCTTTGCTTCACATGCACTTCCATGTCAGATGCCATAAAAATCTAATGCTTTCATATAGTAGCAAGTTTTAATTAATTGGTTTTAATTATTTTGTTCCAAATGAAAATGCTTGTAAAACTAAATTTAATGAGCTGTGAGTAGTTGTCTTTACCATTTGGCTTATAACAGTACTGTCTTTGCCTGTATAAATAGCACAGTAATTGTGATTCATGTTATAAAATTATTGGGTTTTTTTCCCCTTTGAATTAATGTATTCCTTCTTTTCCATTTTACAGTGCAAAGAAAGAATGAGGCCTGTTAAAGCAGCATTGAAACAACTGGATCGACCAGAGAAAGGCCTTTCTGAAAGGGAACAGCTGGAACATACGAGACAGTGCCTAATCAAAATTGGGGACCATATTACTGAATGTTTAAAGGAGTACACAAATCCTGAACAAGTTAAACAGTGGAGAAAGTAAGTTATTCTTCATGATTTTCCTTGAAAAAAAGAAAATCCATAATAGCTTCTATTAAGCAGAATATTTTTAATTATTTATCTTGTTTCTTATTGCCTTTCTTGTATTTTTCTGCTGTTTTAAATAAATACTTTAAAGAAAATGATTATAAATGGTCCCAGCTTTTAATGGATTCTCATTTATATATTTGTATAGCAATACATTTTGTCCAGTAGCAGAGTCATCTTACTTCTTGAAAGAAAAGAAACAAAATAAGTGTATGTAGAATGTATGTAATGTTTAGTGGAAAAGCGTTCTTATTGTTAAAGAACCTGACTGTTTCAACTTCGAGGGTTTTTTATTTGTGCTAAAAATAGGCCTTTATTAAATTTGTGAGTTGAAGTTGGAATGAATTTGAATCGCAGATTCCTTTATTTTTTAAAAAGATAGTCTAAAATGTAATCATGTATTACCTATGACTTCATAAAAACTATTTATTGTGATGTACTCAGGGATTTACTCAGAAAAATCCTGTTTGATATTTGTAGAAAATAAGGCATGTAGGTCAAATCTCTTGCACTACAAGAGATTTCAAGTTTGGAAAATCATTACTGGATAGTAAATACTTAAGTTTTCTGACATATTTCAAATAATATTTCAGAATGCTTTCACAGCAAATTGAAAACTATTTTTAGGCACATACTCTGTTAATAGAATTGTCATTAATACTACTTTTCATGCTGTGCATTTTGAAGTCATTCTGATAAACATTAAAAATGATAAATTACTAAAGGAATTCATTTTTCAATTGTTTTAAATACAGCTAAATAACATTTGCTGTGAAGCTAATATTCTGTATAACAGACTTTAAAATTATTTCAGTTTACTCAATTACTGTTGAAATAATTTTGTTTAAGTTCATGTTCTCTTGTATGATACAAGAAAAACTAATGTATGGAAGTATTATAACCTCTCTTTCTTTATCCTCAGAAACTTGTGGATTTTTGTCTCTAAGTTTACAGAATTTGATGCCAGAAAGTTGCACAAACTATATAAACATGCAATCAAAAAACGCCAAGAATTTCAGGTAATACTTTCACTCTCTCCAAATATACAAATATATATTCTAATTATTATAACTTATTAGATTATCAGTTTGGTAGTTTACTAGGAACAATAACAAAATTATTACTTGAAGTGTATTTTTCTGTTTGTTGTAAACTAGTCTATTTTGTTAGGATATTTTCTCAAGAACTCAGATCCAACTTTTGGATTTATCAATAGCAGTTTTTGTACTTGTCTCTTTCAGCAACACAATGACCAGAACATTGCTGCTAATGTGAACACACAAGCAATAAGAAATCCAAGTAAGAAATCTTAAAGTATATTATTGTGCTGTGTACCTTAAATGAGGGATTTAAAATGAAATAAGTTTTTAAAATGTCGCCTAAAACTCATGTACTGCTGGATATAAATAGAGATAGGATGACTTGACATAACTTCACTAGTTTGCTGATGAATTTGAAGTGAGCACAGATTGAACCCGGTACTTACTGATTTTAGTATCAAGTTATTTGACCACTGTATAACCAAGATGTTATAATTGCAATATAATCAAGAGAGTAAGGCAAAACAGACAATGATCACAAAAAGAGAATAAGTGGAAGAGCTTACCCTTGGGTTGAGCTCACCAGAAGATACCAAAAGAGAGGCTCTCCAGAAGAGATCCTTCCCCTCTGGTAGCCAGCTCTTAAATAGGTCCAGGAGGGGTGGAGCCTGGCTCCCCCCCCCTTCCGGCAGCACAGGTGAATTGCCTTCACCTGTGCTCCTCTGGCTGACTCAAGGCTCACCTCAGGTGATCAATCAGAGGTTCAGGCCGTGACTCAGCAGTTCCCATACAACCACCTTAAAAAATAAAAACTTCAATAATTTTATCTACTTACTTTTGAGCAGGGAGAAAGGCCTCCTCAAAACTTGTAAACTCCTGGGAGGCTCTGTACATATTTGTAGCAGTTGCAATGTCACAATAGCTTCAGGGAATACGAGATGTCTTCTACTGTTGACAATAACAGCTTTTCTATGCTCCCACGCTTGTAATACTTACTGTTATATCATGTTATCTAAAACCTTGTGTATGTTATCATGAATTTAAAAGGAACATTATGTGTTTTAGGAATTGTTGTGGTTTAACCCAGCAGGTGGCTCAGCAGCACAGTCACTCACTCTCCCCCTTCCCAGTGGAATGGGATAGGGGAGAGAATTGGAAAAAAACCCACAAAGTAGAAGTCATAGATTGAGATAAAACTATTTACTAAGAAAAAGGAAAAAGATAATAGTTATGACAATATATATAAATGTCTATAACAAGTGATGCACAAGCAACTGCTCACCACCTCCCAACTGATGCCCAGCTAGCCTCCAAGCAGCAGAAGAGAGACAGATCAATTCCCACCACCTTCAAAACTCTTTCCACTTGATGTTGTAGGATGTGCTAATATATATGGAATATCCCTCCCCCCCCAGCCCTTCACTGAAAAACTGGAATGGCCTTGCCTCAGTACAACACTGCTAAACAACAAATAAAACATCAGTGTGTTATCAACATTGTTTTTCTCCCAAAAAACCCAAAACATAGCATCATACCAGACACTCTGAAGAAAACAATTCCATCCCAGCTGAAACTAAGTCAGGAATACCACTAAAAATCTTTCATTAACAAGGTATACCTTTAAAATTGCTGTTCATGCTAGAGCTAGCTCTCCTTCAAGAGGAACTTCCAATTGTTCTGTCTAAAAATGCCCTTTTAAAGGCATCTAGTCTCTACCCACCTCTCATTATGGACCACACTGATCCACTACATTTAGTCTGTAAGGTTGAAAAGTTTTAGTTTCTCAGCCCTACATATCTACATTCCTAGCTTGCTCGCCTTCTACTTCTGAGATCTCATTCAGTTCACTCACATCAGTGCATTTGTCTTTATTTAGATCTTGTTTCCGTCAAATGATAGTGCCATTTTCATGTTGCTTTAAGTCTGACAGGTAGAAGTGCTGTTTGAATTAGGTGAAGAAAAAAAGTATAGTGTATGAGAATTCCTTATAACCTCTGTCTGCTTTATTAAACAGATGTGGAAAGACTAAAAGAGAATACAAACCATGATGATAGTATCAGGGACAGTTATTCTTCTGACAAACATTTGTGTCAGTACCATGATCATCATAAGGACAGATATCAGGGAGATACTTATAAGAAAAGTGACTCAAGGAAAAGGCCCTATTCAGACTTCAGCAATGGAAAAGATCATAGAGACTGGGATCACTACAAACAAGACAGCAGGTAAGTTGGTTCCACAATTGTAAAATCTCTTAAGAATTCCTTTCCTGTAGTGTTTGTAGTAAGCACCAAAGTGCTTTATTTTTAATAATGCAGAATTGCAAAGAAATGTAGTTCTGTTGAATTGACATAATTGTAATTCTTACTATGTATTCTGTAATACTTACTAATATAAATATTTTTTTCAGATGCTGTAGTGATAGTAAGCATAGAAAGTTGGATGACCATAGAAGCAGAGATCACAAGTCAAACCTAGAAGGAAGTTTAAAAGACAGCAGGCCTCATTCAGATTACCGTTCCCATTCAGACCACAGGATACATTCAGATCACCGTTCCACTTCAGAATACAGCCATCATAAATCTTCCAGAGATTATAGATACCACTCAGACTGGCAAATGGACCACCGAGCTTCTGGTAGTGGCTCAAGGTCACCATTAGATCAGAGGTCTCCTTATGGTTCAAGATCTCCATTTGAACACTCATCAGATCACAAAAGTACACCTGAACATACATGGAGTGGCTGGAAAACATAACAAAGACTGACATTTTCTGGACCTTCTTTTAGCCATATACAGTAAACTAACACAGTAATTGCCTTATCTGACTTGAAAGACTGGATATTCTATCAGTAGCAGTATTGTTACTTCTTCCCAGGATGCAAGGTCTATTATTCCATCAAAAAAAAAAAAAAATTTTTGTATTTAAACTTTATGCTGCACAGTGCTGCAAATGCTGTGGCACTTTTTTTTTTTTTTTTTAAGAAATTAAAACTGTTTACTTTTACAGGGACCTCAATACTGCCCTGTTCAGACTGGATCTTATAAAACTGTTTTTAGGCAGAATGCAGTTGAAATTGTTTGTAAATTAATTTTTAGGCACTGACATGTGATCTTGTTTCAAGAAAGAATGAGAAATTTGCTGTTTTCTTAGTAAAGAATTCTCAAGGATTTTGTTCACTTTCCAAAGCTACATGTTTACATCGTACACTGCAACCACCTAGCGGCTTTTCATCACAAGCTTGAATATTTAAATTCTTACCTGTAACTGTAAAATAGCTAGGATTTCTCCTGTTTGTGATCAGATATTATAAAGCCTTTTTACAATAAATAAATTTAAGTGGCTGCAAATAAATTAAATTTTTCTTCCATTTTGCTTGTTCCTTTCCCTACCAACTTAGGCCTTCCTCTCACAAGTATTCAAAACAGGCAGTGTACTAATTATTTTTAATAAAAAAAAATAGCTTGATGAAATCACTGTTCAGAATGTAGAAAAGGAACACTTTTCTTGTATTTAGTGCCCATTTTTCTTTGATACTTCAGATAAATGTTTTGGGGTTTCATTCTAGTTAGCTTTTTTTTTTTTCTGTCAATTTTTTCTGTCAAACTGTCAATATTGTTATTTGTTGTAGCAAAATGGTGGGAAATAGTCAAATTGTTTTCTGGAAATGTTTTTAAGTCCATTGGTTTTAAAGGAGGAGTGTTCAATATCTGAACAGTGAACTTCAGAATCCAAAGTAGCCAAAATTGATTGTACATCCATTTGTTTTCCATCTTAAAATGGGCAATAATGTCAAATGTACTATGTGGCCAGCTGATATTTTAGAAAATTTGAATGACTTCAATAGAATTGTTGTAATGCACATTGATTGTACATAGACAACATCTATCTGACAAAATAAATTTAAAAGGATATGCGAGCTCTTGTTTTTTTGTTAGTGTTTTTCTACAGCATACCTTTCTCATATTTAACCATAAAAATATTAAACTGTGTACTAAATTTTAATATGCATCTGTATGGGAATTGCTAAGTCATGGCCTGAACCAATGATTAAGCACCTGGTGAAGGGACACAACCAGCCCAGGCAGCACAGGTGAAAGCAAGTCCCTAAACCTCATTTAAGGGCTGGCTGGGACAAGGGGTGTTTCTTTACTTGGCAGTCCCTCCTTTTGGAGTATTTGGCAAGCCCTTATCCTTGAGGTGGGTATGCAAGTTGTCCTTGAACTGGATTGTGATCATCACGCTTACTTGGGTAATTTAGAAGTGATTATTTGCCATTACCTTCCTCTAAATTTGGCAAGCTAGGCAGTTCTTCCTGAGAAAGAGAATACTGACAATGGTCTTTTTGTAATTGGGTGGTTCAGCAGGGAAGCAATTATCCCTCTAGATAAGACTTTGGGCATATCCTGGGATTTCTGGGATCCTCATAGTATGGAATTACCCCAGTGAGTGAAAAATGGGGCCCTTTGAGGGTTGGGGGCAATGTCTTTTGATTCTCTGATCCACGTGGTAGAATGCTTTCATGGTTTCACTAGAGATCTATTAATCATAAAAGAATGACAGCTAGTTGTGTCCACTGTGGCATAGCCACTGTTAATGGCTTTGACCTGATTAGACTTATCAAATACCCTGGAAAATGAAAATCAGGTATTAAGAGACTGAGTCAAAAGACTTGAACAACAGCTTGCCGTATTAACCGAGGAAAAAACAAATTTGGCTATCCTCCTGAAAAAAAATCTAGAATGTATTACTAGAAACTGTTGAGGCCCCTGGAACAGGGGGCCTATATAATAGAAATTTGGTAGTCAAGAAAATAATCAGGTCAGATCTTGAGGCTCCACTTGAGCTGGATCCTTTTGCGATCTGATCTATAATGACACAGAACCAAAAAGATGTAATATAGACTGGTAGGGGTACCCTTTGCCCAGATGACACTACGTGTAACAGCACATACATATATGGCAGCCAAACTAATGGATTTAGTGCAAAGATTCAGGCAAAAACAAAGAGAGTGTACTGGCATGGTTACTCTGTTTGTGGTATATGGAGGCAGAGATGGTTGTTGTAAGTGGTCCAGAAGTCTCTAAACTTGCATCTGTCACTCACTCTGCCCTCACACAAAGACTATATGCAACTGTACAGCATAATGAGGAAAATCACTAATTGAATGGTTGATAGCTGTCTGAGACCGATAAGGAGTGTCTCAAATCAACATAAGGCGCAGCCCAGCCCGGCACAGGCATGGAAAATCTGTCACGGAGTTGACCAGATCAATCTATGTCCGTGAAATGGGTGACAGGCCTCTGCCCTCCCCCCCCACCACAGTCCCACAAAAACGGGAAGGAAGGAAGGGAGGAAAAGAGCAGTGGCAACAATCTATGGAGGAAAACTTATTTTACTATAATACCAGAATACAAAATAACAAAATATATACAAGTTAGTTGAAATGGAGATGAATAACACAGACAAGATGAGAGAGAGAGTTCCCGGGACCGATTCAAACCTGAAAAGCTTGGAACGGCTAGGAAAGCACCCTCCTACGGTATGTAGGGAACTGGATTGGTTAGGACCATCACGATTGATAGATCCTCTGGTATTGACTAACCAGGTGGCTTCTGCCAAATGCTTCTCCCAGTGCTTAAATGTTCCGCCACCCAGTGCTTTTAGCATCGTTTTTAACAATCCATTGTATCCTTCAATTTTACCAGAGGCTGGTGCATGGTAGGGAATATGGTAAATCCACTCAACGCCATGATCTTTGGCCCAAGTATTTACAAGAGAATTTTTGAAATGAGTCCCATTATCTGACTGAATCCTTTCTGGGGTGCCATGTTGCCACAGGACTTGTTTCTCGAGACCCAGTATGGTGTTTCGGGCGGTAGCATGGGGTACTGCATATGTTTCCAGCCACCCAGTGGTTGCCTCCACCATAGTAAGCACATAATGTTTACCATTGCGAGATCGTGGCAAGGTGATATAATCAACCTGCCATGCCTCCCCATATTTATACTTTTGCCATCGCCCTTCCTCCCAGAGAGGTTTCATCCTCTTGGCTGGTTTGATGATGGCACATGTTTCACAGTTATGAATAACCTGTGCAATGGCATCCATAGTTAAGTCCACCCCTTGGTCTCTAGCCCATTTGTATGTTGCATCTCTCCCTTGATGGCCGGAGGGCCTTCATGGGCCCACTGAGCCAGAGACAATTCACCCTTGTTCTGCCAGTCCAGGTCTATTTGAGCCACCTCAATTCTGGCAGCTCGGTCTACCTGATGGTTATTTTGCTGTTCTTCAGTAGCCTGACTCTTGGGCACATGAGCATCTACATGGCGCACCTTTACAACCATATTCTTTGTTTGGGAAGCAATGTCTTTCCACAGTTCAGCAGCCCAAATAGGTTTACCCCTTCTTTGCCAGTTATTTTGCTCCCACTGCTGTAACCACCCCCATAAGGCATTTGCTACCATCCATGAGTCAGTGTAAAGATAGAGCATTGGCCACCTCTCCCGTTCAGCAACATCTAAGGCCAGTTGGACAGCCTTTACCTCTGCAAATTGGCTTGATTCCCCTTTCCCTTCAGTGGCCTCTGCAACTTGTCGTGTGGGGCTCCACACAGCAGATTTCCATCTGCGATGCTTCCCCACAATACGACACGATCCATCTGTGAACAGGGCATATTTCTTTTCATTCTCTGGTAGTTCATTGTATGGTGGGGCCTCTTTAGCATGAGCTACTTCTTCTCCTGGTGGTGTTCCAAACTTCTTACCTTCAGGCCAGTCCATGGTGACCTCTGGGATTCCTGGATGGCTGAGATTCCCCATCCGTGCTCGTTGTGTAATCAGTGCAATCCACTTACTCCAAGTGGCATCAGTAGCATGATGGGTGGAGAGAACCTTTCCTTTAAACATCCAGCTCAGCACTGGCAATCGAGGTGCCAGAAGGAGTTGTGTTTCAGTACCAACTACTTCAGAAGCAGCCTGAACCCCCTCATACGCGGCTAAGATCTCCTTTTCAGTTGGAGTGTAGCCCTCTTCCGACCCTCTGTATGCCCGACTCCAGAATCCCAGGGGTCGGCCTCGGGTCTCTCCTGAGGCTCTTTGCCACAAACTCCAAGTGGGACCGTTCTCTCCAGCAGCAGTATAGAGGATGTTCTTTATACCCTGTCCCGTCCGTACTGGCCCTAGGGCCACGGCACGGTCTATCTCCTGTTTAATCTGTTCAAAAGCCTGCTGCTGCTCAGGGCCCCATGTGAACTCATTTCTCATTCGTGTCACATAATAAAGGGGGCTTACAATGAGGCTGTAGTTTGGAACATGCATTCTCCAAAAGCCCACTGCACCCAGAAAAGATTGTGTCTCTCTTTTGCTAGTGGGTGGAGACATAGCAGTGATTTTGTCGATCACATCTGTCGGGATGTGACGACGGCCATCTTGCCACTTTATGCCTAGGAACTGAATCTCCTGGGCAGGTCCTTTCACTTTGCTTCGCTTAATAGCAAAACCAGCACTCAGAAGAATTTGGATGATTCGCTCTCCTTTTGTAAAGATGACTTCTGCTGTATCGCCCCACACAATGATGTCATCAATGTCCTGCAGGTGCTCAGGAGCACTGCCCTGTTCCAATACAGTTTGGATCAACCCATGGCAAATGGTCGGGCTGTGTTTCCACCCCTGGGGCAAACGGTTCCAGGTATACTGAATGCCCCTCCATGTGAAAGCAAACTGTGGCTTACATTCTTTGGCCAAAGGTATGGAAAAGAAGGCATTAGCAATGTCAATGGTGGCATACCATTTGGCTGCTTTTGACTCCAGTTCATATTGGAGTTCTAACATGTCCGGCACAGCAGCACTCAGTGGGGGTGTGACTTCATTCAGGCCACGGTAGTCCACCGTCAGCCTCCATTCTCCACTGGCTTTACGCACTGGCCATATGGGGCTGTTAAAAGGCGAGTGAGTTTTGCTGATCACTCCCTGGCTCTCTAGTTGACGAATTAACTTATGAATGGGGAGCAAAGAATCCCTGTTGGTGCGGTACTGCCGCCTGTGCACCATTTTTGTAGCAATCGGTACCTGTTGCTCTTTTACTCGCAGCAGCCCCACAACAGATGGATCTTCTGACAGGCCAGGCAAAACAGACAGCTGCTTAATGTTGTCTGTGTCCACAGCAGCTATTCCAAAGGCCCATCGATACCCCTTAGGATCCTTGAAATGCCCCCTTCTGAGATAATCAATACCTAGTATACATGGAGCCCCTGGGCCTGTCACAATAGGATGTTTTTGCCAGTCCTTACCAGTGAGGCTTATCTCAGCCTCCAACACAGTCAATTCTTGAGAGCCCCCGGTCACTTCAGAAATATGGATTGATTCTGTCCCTTCATGACTCGAGGGCAACAGAGTGCACTGTGCACCAGTGTCCACCAGGGCCTTATATTTCAGAGGTTCTGATGTGCCAGGCCATCGAATCCACACAGTCCAATATACTCTATTATCCCTTCCCCCCCCCGACTGAGGGCTGGGCCCCTCTATTCATTACCTGTGGTAACTGGAGCAACTGCACTGGTGGTTGATCTGCTTTGTAATTCTTTCACCCGGGCTCGTAGTACAGGAGTAGGTTGACCGTGCCACTTCCCCATGTCTTCTCCATGGTCACGTAGGTAATACCATAAGGCAATTCGCGGTGTATTACCCCTTACTTGAGCCGGAGAGCGTTTGCTTCTAACAGCTGAGATCTTTGATGCTGCACGTGAGAAGGAAGGTTCTTCATCTTTAGTTAGGTGGGCTTGCACAGATTTCATCATCTCCTTCATCTCCTTCATTAGACTCTTTTGATTATCCTGATCTTCATCAAGCGTCTCTGATACTGCTACAGGTTTGTCACGGTTAATCAGTTGAGACACTTGCTCCGTCATCGTTCTTGATA